TAATTTTACTAACGTTCCGCCATTTCCACCACCAACATCAACAACTGTTGAATTCTCATTTAATCTCCAATCATAGTTTATTTTTAAAACTTAAGTAAACACTAACGAGCATTTAAAAGTAAACAAACAATCAAGGTATCTATAGAAAGTAATACATTACCAATAAAAGGACCATTACCAATGATCTTATTCGAGTGAATCATTGCGTGATTGAGTCTTTCTAATTTATCTTTGTTTCCAGCAAAGCATAATACTCCCATATATCGATGCCAAAAGTTTTCTTCCAAGGGGTGACAATTTCTTTTATTTTATCCTCATGTTTATCATCATCATCAATATCGTCCCATTTATTTGGATATTTTAACGTCACACAAATGTTATTAGAAGCCTTAAAGAATTCTTCAATTCCCATCTCGATAATTAACCTCACACTATTTGGATGATCATCTCTTAAGACCGATGACATTCGATTATTCGAATAGACCCCATTACCATGATTATAAAAGATTCCTTTTGTTGATACCGCTCGTAAGAATCTGCCTAAAACATCTTCATTTGTGTCAGTTAATTCGGCCAACCTTTTCACAGACACTTTGCCTCCCTCTCTTTTAATAATATCAGCTATTCTTAAATTCGCTAGTTCAAATAATGCGTTGAGTACGAGATAATCGTAAATATGGCCTGCCATCAAATGTAGTGGTGAAAACAAGTAATTCGGTAGTAACCTAACATGATATAAATATTTTCTTTGAAAACAAATTTTTATTTATTTTTTTTTTTTTTAAAATTATTATCGGAAAGTTACTCACAAAAATTTTTTCATCCACAATACAAGATCAAAAATCGGGGCTGGTAAATAGTTACCATCATTTGTATAATCATAATTTAAATCATAATCAACATTTGACGAATAATAATTCATAAGTACCGAGCTTAATAATATAAGTAAGCTAAAATAAAAAACCTTTGATTTTAAGAAAATTGGCATGACGATATTTTTTTTTTTAAAAAAAAAAAAAAGTATGAAAATTCATCACGTATATATAGGAAATAATGATCAAAACCCCCGAATTTCTGCATTTAAGGTTCATTATTGGCCCAATGTATGGTCATTATCATTATGTATGTACGAAGACGTGATTTTTGAAAAAAAAAAAAAAAAAAAAAAAATCAAGAAAAAAAACCAACTTTTGTTTCGTGTTTTGAGCTAATCACTTCAGAATACCTACAGTCAGACCCTTTTGGTTTTCTTGTTTTCATGAAATATTTAATATACGTTGTATACCTCCTCTACAAAAGCCACAAATGTCAAAGGATTTTATGTTCAATTTTTTTGATTGTTAAAAATATTTAAAATAAAATTCATGAAAATCAATTCGGAACATACCAGAATAGGAATGAACACAATTTATAACTACAGTATATTATGCGAACTTATTAAATTGCTCTAAATTAGCAAATTCTGTAAGAATTTTTCTACCTTGACTTCCGAACACGACTCTGTTTAGTGTAATTTGTTCTAAACGAATCACGCTTTGCTTTTACGATAAAAAAGATTCTGTTTTAACATTTGCTTCTAAAATTATAGATAAATCAAATATCAATGCTTCCCATTATCGTATAATGAATAAAGAAATCCGTGATTTCTCTGCTTCCATGATTTTAAAAACATTGGACTTATTTGAAATTCTTGCCCATATCTCACCTAGCATCCAAATTAAGAGAAATAATAAGCATAAGTTTACGATAATTACCAATCTACCTATGAAATATCTACACAATAAATTTTGTGCAGCTCAGATTTGTACTGATACAGATTTTCCACCAAAGTTATAACATAAAGGAATGCTTATTTTTTTTTTTAAAAAAATTAAAAAAATTAATAAATATATAAGAGCTGACATTCAAAAACCATTCTTGACGTTTAAATATTTGTTCAAACAATATTATTAGTATGGATGGTTTCCCAAACTATGCGATAATTGTAAAGATTTAGGAGGAAAAAAAATGGACTGGCACTTTATGCATGCAACCAATTCTAGAAGTTTATTATTGCAATCCCGTACGGAATTGTTAATAGAGCTAATGTTTTTTAAATGATTTAAAAGATTCATGAATGAATTCATTCCGAAAATCACTCTTTTATATGCATATGCAAAAAAAAAAATAAAATAATATTAATAATTTGTTTCGTCGATAATTTTTTTTAAATTATTAAATAGCCAATTTGATTCGTAATATATATTTTTATTATTTTGAAATAAACTAGTAAATATGTTATCGTAAAGTAAAATTATATATTATATTAATTAGATCTAACATTATTATTTTTAATAAGACAAAAAAGACGATTCGATTTTTTAACTCAAACTTAACGAATATCTCATTATTATAATTAATATCATGTAAAGAATTTCATTCATACATAATCGTTGAATAATCATTGATATCGAAATACAATTTGAGATAAAAAATGTAATATATATATTCCTCTCAAATTTCCTCAAATCACTTTCATAAACTCGTCCAATCTCCAAATGTTCTTCATCCAATAATAATATAAATATCCCATATATACTATTTAAATCCCATAAGTCTCCATTAATAACTATGTAATAATTAAATTATTCTAGCCACAAAATATTGTCATCCTTTCTAAAACATTACCATCCAACTTCTTTTACTCAAAATTAATGTCAACAATTACTACTATAATGATGCAATCCAAAATATAATCCAATCCAGTTAAAGCAATTAGATGCGTTAGTAAAATATAGTTATAAAAAAAGCAAAAAAAAAAACCCCAATGCGTAGCAAACCGATCTACAGAAATTTTCATCTATCATGTCCCCACTATCTCATCGTCTAACAATCCATTTGTACTACATATCTCCATCATCTCACAATCCATTAATATTACATATCTCCATCATATTCCAATCCAAAAAATTTACATTAAAATCTCTCTCATCTCATTGATACACATATTAGTTATTGAAAATGTTTTCATTGTTACAAGATCCAAAGGTAGCGGTCCAGTAAAGCAATTAGACGCGTTAGTAAAATATTGATGTAAAAAAAAGCAAAAAAATAACCAATAAATAAGCAAACCCGGTCCGCAGAAATTTCGTCAATCATCTATATTATCTCCCCACCATTTCATCGTCTAAAAATTACATTCTCCATCATCTCACAATCCATTAATACTACCACATATCTCAATCTTTCCCAACTCATAAATATTATATATTATCCATTATTTATTCCAGTCAAATCCAGTCAAACCAATTTATAATACTAAATTACTCTCATTGATACACATTAGATACTGAAAAATTTCCATTGTTATAAGATCCAAAGGTAGCGGTCCAGTAAAGCAATTTGACGCGTTAGTAAAATATTGATGTAAAAAAAGCAAAATATAACCAATACATAAGCAAACCCGGTCCGCAGAAATTTTCGTCAATTATCTATATTATCTCCCCACCATTTCATCGTCTAATAATTACATTCTCCATCGTCTCACAATCCATTAATACTACCACATACCTCAATCTTTCCCAATTCATAAATATTATATATTATCCATTAATTATTCCAGCCAAATCCAGTCAAACCCATTTATTAGATACTGAAAATTTTCCATTGCTACAAGATCCAAAGGTAGCGGTCCAATAAAGCAATTAGACGCGTTAGTAAAATATTGATGTAAAAAAAAGCAAAAAAATAACCAATAAATAAGCAAACCCGGTCCGCAGAAATTTCGTCAATCATCTATATTATCTCCCCACCATTTCATCGTCTAAAAATTACATTCTCCATCATCTCACAATCCATTAATACTACCACATATCTCAATCTTTCCCAACTCATAAATATTATATATTATCCATTATTTATTCCAGTCAAATCCAGTCAAACCAATTTATAATACTAAATTACTCTCATTGATACACATTAGATACTGAAAAATTTCCATTGTTATAAGATCCAAAGGTAGCGGTCCAGTAAAGCAATTTGACGCGTTAGTAAAATATTGATGTAAAAAAAGCAAAATATAACCAATACATAAGCAAACCCGGTCCGCAGAAATTTTCGTCAATTATCTATATTATCTCCCCACCATTTCATCGTCTAATAATTACATTCTCCATCGTCTCACAATCCATTAATACTACCACATACAGTATATAAAGAAATTAATACAATTAAAGGCAAACCCAGTTCACAGAAATTACGTCTACACATCTTCCAATAAAGTTTAATACTTACGATCCAAGGGTTTATCCAATCCAGTTAAAGAAAATTGAACGAACGCATAAGTAAAAGTGACGCGTAAAAACAAAAGAAATAACCAAACCCAGTACACAGCTCATCATACACAAATCATTTCTATTTCTTTTTAAGTTGTCAGTCAATCTAGTTTTCAATACACGCGAGCCTCTTATTCTTTATGATCCACAAGGTTGTCCTACTAAATTAAGGAATGGTATAAAATAAAAAGCCTATCCTAAAAAAATTTCGCTATAAAGTTCAGTATCGTAACTCTGTTTTCCCACGACTCCAATTTAATGTTATTTATCAATATACAAAAGGAATATTTGCAAATAAAAAAATTAAGAAAAAATATAAAGTGATTAAACGGCACATATATGTTTGTGATCTAAGAAGGGAGCGAGTGAAGAAAAAAAAAAGAGTTTACTTGAGATAACGCACTATTTTATAAACAACGAGAAGGAATTTGATTGGTTGATCACTTTGTCAAAGTTTTCGGTAACGTGATTTTTGCCGATCATTCTAAAGTAATATTCTAGTTAATATAAATAAAAAAATATTAATTCTTTTTTTTTAGGTTCGTCAGAATAGAAGCAGAATCTTCAAATAGATCTGACAATTCAATTAAATGCTATATATGCAGAAAAGTGATAAATTTTAAAATTCTCTTTCTTCTTTTCTATTGTTTATTTTTTTTTATATTTAGTTAATTAATCAACTAATATATTTTATTTATTTTATAGGATTTTTTTAGATATTACAAATTATACTAAACTCTTCAGAAAATATTATAGATTAAATAATAAAACAAATAATAAAAAGAATAATAAAAAGAAAAGTACTTGATTGCATTACTGTGATAAGCTAAGAGTTCATCTGAAATGCTGCATTTGATTTTATCTAAATAGGCAGAATCATTCCTAACCTACTAAAATTAAAAATGTAATTATTAATCATAAATGAATAAATTTTATATTTCTTTTATGATATATTATCAGAAATTGAATAAAATTTATTAAAAATACTGGGATTGCTATTATGATAATTTTTAATTCACTTATTAATATTTTATTTTTTTATTGTTTTATTTTCCCAATTTTTTTGTTTAATTATTTTATTGTATTTTATTATTTTTTTATTTTATTTATTTATTTCTTCTCTTCTGTTCTTTTTTTTATTATTTTTAATTTAATTTAATATTTATTTTATCCCTTTGACCATTTAATTTAATTTAATTATTTATTATTATTTTTTTTTATTTATTTTATCTTCCTCCTCTGTTCATTTTTTATTATTTTTAGTTTCGCTTTTTTTACTTTTTTAATTTTTATATATTTTTTAATTGGAAATTTCTAAGTCTACATAGGTGTATGCAATGTTATGCTAGAACATGTCTCAGATGAGCTTAAAACAATTGGGACATAAAGTGGGACAGCTTGGAACATAATGTGAGACAGTCTTAAAATGCTTGGGACATAGAAAATGAATAACACAAGATGTATGTATACAGATCATATAACATATATATTTGTCATCAGTGTCATGCCTCTCTACCTTTAATTTTTACTATTTATTTCAAGGACTTAGAATATTTTAGTGAAAAATTATTATTCATCATGAACTATTTGTCATATAGTTATCACACAG